AATGTTTACCATGGTCCCTAATATCCTATGGGAGTCCCCAATTGATTGGGTGGAACCATCCAATTTGCATTTAAACGACCAATTAACCGATATACAACTTGCACCGATTTCATTAATTCAAGCCTACCACGAACATTTATGAGAACATATAATGATCATATATAGTTCCAAACGACATTATATGACCTCGAGATATATCCCCTAGAATTTTAAGAATTTTCAACTCCGGGCCCCGAAACCTACATAATTTCTCTAAAAGTGCGGATATTAACCTTCAATTTTGAATTTTTTTGTTTTTTTTTTTTTGCCCGCAAATAAAAATTGCCGAAATGTTTACCATGATCCCTAATATCCTATGGGAGTCCAATTGATTGGGTGGAACCATCCAATTTGCATTTAAACGGCCAATTAATCGATATACAACTTGCATCGATTTCATTAATTCAAGCCTACCACGAACATTTATGAGAACATGTAATGATCATATATGGTTCTAAACGGCATTATATAACTCAATGTATCCCCTATAATCTCAAGCCTTTTGACACCGAGCCCCAAAACCTCTAAAATTTCTCAAAAACGTGGATATTAGTCTTCAATTTTTGAATTTTTTGACTTTTTTTCACCCGAAAATAAAAATTTCCGAAATGTTTACCATGGTCCCTAATACCCTCCGAGAGTTCAATTGGGTGGGTGGAACCATCCAATTTGTCTTTAAACGACCAATTTACCGGTTTACAACCTGCGTCGATTTCATTAACTCAAGCCTACCATAAACATTTATTATAACATATAATGATCATATATGGTTCCAAATGGCATTATATGACCCCTAAATTTATCCCTTAAAAGCTAAATGCTTTTCGACATCGGGCCCCGAAATCTCCAAAATTTCTCAAAAATCGTGGATATTAGCCTTTAATTTTGGAATTTTTTTACTTTTCTTTGCCCGAAAATAAAAATTGCCGAAATGTTTAACATGATTCCTAATACCCGCCGGGAGTCCAATTGGGTGGGTGGAACCATCCAATTTGTCTTTTAACGACCAATTTATCGGTTTACAACTCACACCAATTTCATTAACTCAAGTCTACCATGAACATTTATAACCATAAATAATGATCATAAATAGTTCCAAACGGCATTATATGACCCCGAGATATATCTCTTAGAATTTCAAGACTTTTCGACACCGGGCCCCGAAACCTACATAATTTCTCTAAAAGTGTGGATATTAGCCTTCAATTTTGGAATTTTTTGACTTTTTTTTGCCCGGAAATAAAAATTGCCGAAATGTTTACCATGATTCTTAATACCCTCTGGGAGTCCAATTGGTCGGGTGGAACCATCCAATTTGCATTTAAACGACCAATTAATCGATATACAACTTGTACCGATTTCATTAATTCAAGCCTACCACGAACATTTATGACAACATATAATGATCATATATGGTTCTAAATGGTATTAGATAACTTCGAAATGTATCCCCTATAATTTCAAGCCTTTTTGACACCGTGCCCCAAAACCTCCAAAATTTCTCAAAAAACGTGGATATTAACCTTAATTTTGGAATTTTTTGACTTTTTTTCCCCCGAAAATAAAAGTAGCCGAAATGTTTACAAATGGTCCCTAATACCCTCCGGGAGTCCAATTGTGTGGGTGGAACCATCGATTTGTTCTTTAAACGACCAATTTACCAGTTTACAACCTGCGCCGATTTCATTAAATCAAGCCTACCACAAACGTTTATGACAACATATAATGATCATATATGGTTCTAAACGACATTATATGAGCCCAAGATGTATCCCCTAAAATCTAAAGGCTTTTCGACACTGGGCTCCGAAACCTCCAAAATTTCTCAAAAAGCGTGGATATTAGCCTTCAATTTTGGAATTTTTTTTACTTTTCTTTGCCCGGAAATAAAAATTTCTAAAATTTTTACCATGATCCCTAATACCCTCTGGGAGTCCAATTGGGTGAATGGAACCAACCTATCTATTTGCCTTTAAATGACCCATTTACCGGTTTACAACTTGCACCGATTAAATTAACTCAAGCCTACTACGAACATTTATATGGTTCAAACAACATTATATGACCCCGAGATGTATCCCCTTAAATCTCAAAGCTTTTCAACATCGGGCCTCGAAACATTCCAAATTTCTCAAAAAAGCCGTGGATTTCAATTTTGGAATATTTTTTTGTCTTTCTTTCACCTAGAAATAAAAATTGCCGAAATGTTTACCATGCATGGTCCCTAGTACCCTCCGGGAGTCCAATTGGGTGGGTGGAACCATCCAATTTGTCTTTAAACGACCAATTTCCTAGTTTACAACTTGCAGCGATTTCATTAATTTAAGCCTACCACGAACATTTATGACAACAAATATGGTTCGAAACAGCATTTTATGACCCGAAGATGTATCCCATAGAATTTCAAGACTTTTCGATACCGGGTTTCGAAACCTCCAAAATTTCTCAAAAAGCGTGGATATTAGCTTTCAATTTTGGAATTTTTTTACTTTTTTTCTCCCAGAAACAAAAATTGCCGAAATGTTTACCATGGTCCATAATAACCTCCGAGAGTCCAATTGGGTGTATGGAACCATTCAATTTGCTTTTAAACGACCAATTTACCGGTTTACAACTTAGCTTGACCAATTTACTGGATTACAACGACCAATTTAATTAACTTGCACCGAACTCGGCTTGAATCAAAATTGACCCAAACCCGTTTTAACCCGTCAAAATCCGAATTTAACCCGACTTGTTACTAACCTGACCTGAATTCAACTCGATCCGTTCCTAACCCGACTTGTTACAAACCCGACCCGAAATCAACCCGACTTGTTATTGACCTAACCCAAATTCAACCCAACTTGTTATTGACCCGACCCGAATTTTACCATACCTATTACTTACCCAACCCAAAAATTCAACCCGATCTGTTACTAACCCGATTCGAAATTAACACGACTTGTTATTGACCCAACCTAAATTCAACCCCAATTGATCCTGAACTGATTTCTAATCACCTTAAATGCAATTTAGACCACCTTAATATTATTGATCAAAGCATTTTGTCTTGGGCGACCAAGTCGGTCCAGGCCAGCAAAAGAAAGGAGCATCATCCTCAAATTTTAGAGTTAAATATATAGTATATATATTTGTTGTATGGTAAAAGGAGATAATTATCTTCCTAAATTATAGACTATAGTTCCCTAGTATATTTTCATATATATTATAGTCAAAGGAAATAATTAGCTTGATAAAAATGATAATAATCTATTTATAGTTAGTTGAAGCCGAATATGACCTGACCTGATTGTAATTTGCAAATTATTGACTTGAACATAACACGACTTGAATCCGAGAATGACTCAACCTGATTATAACCCACAAATTATTGACTTGAACCGAATACGACTTGAATCCGAGAATGACCCGACCTGATTATAATCTGCAAACTATTGTCTTGAACCGAACCCGGCTCAAACCCGAGAATGACCCGACCTAATTCTAACCCGCAAATAATTGACTTGAACCGAACCCGACTCGAATCTGAGAATTACCCTAACCCGTGAAAACCCGAATTAAACCCGACCTATTGTTTACCCGACCCGAATGTAACCCGACCCAAACCCAATAAGAAGTATGACCCGATTCAAGCATGACCCAACCCAAATCCGACCTGCATAGGTTATGGAATTAATCTGAATTGATCCAACCCACTCTTACAGGACCCAAACCCAACCCATTTATCCGAATTGAAAGTTATATCTTATGCTACCTCTGTTTTAGTGAAACGCTAAACATCGCCCGCAAATCTCCACATAAAGCCCACAAATTTGAAATGAAATGACATTTTTGCCCTCAACATCAAAAACACACTTTTATCTTAAAACACACTGTTATGGCTAATAAACGGGAAGTGGCGGCACCGGAGGCGGTGTCGCGGTGGAAGTAAACAAAGTCGCCGGATCGCGAAGGAGCCGTGGTGGCAGCGCCACAACCAAGGCTACTGGCGCCTGGCCAGGACGCCACCGCCACGGTGGCGGCGCCTGGGCAAGACGCCGTGGCCACGGTGGCGGCGTCCACTGAAGACGCCACCACCGTGGCTACGGCGTCCTGCCCAGGCGCCGCCACCGTGGCGGTGGCGTCCTGGCCAGGCGCCAGTAGCCTTTTTTTTTTTTTTTTTTTTCAAATTTTTTTTAATTTTTTTTTTTCAATTTTTTTTTTCCTATTTTTTTTTTTTTTAAAATGTATTTTGTTTTTTGGATTTTCGTTGCAATTTTTTTCTTTATTATGTTTTTGTTTCCTAAATTTTTTTTATTATTTTGGGTTTTTCTTTCTAATTTTGTTTATTTTTTGAATTTACTAAAGCATATTTTTAAAATAAATTAATATTTTTTTTTGTTTTTTTTAAAAAAAAATTCAAATTTATCAAAATTCAAACAAAATAAAAAAAAAAACCAAAACGAAAAAAAAGATTTAAAAAAAAATATACCGAGGAGGTGGCGCCTGGCCAGGACGCCACCACCGTGGCTGGGGCGCCTGGCCAGGACGCCACCACCGTGGCTGGGGCAGGACGCCACTACCATGGTGGCGGCGTCCTGGCCAGGCGCCCCAGCCACGGTGATGGCGTCCTGGCCAGGCGCCCCATCCACGGTGGCGGCGTCCTGGCCAGGCGCCCCATCCACGGTGGCGGCGTCCTGGCCAGACGTTCGCCGCCAAAACTTGATTTTTAACCACTTCAGACCTCGTTTTCCGGCTACGACGGCGGCTCTTTGGTGTCCCTCGGCGATCCGGCGCTGTTCCACATTTTGGGTGAGACAAAATTTCGTTTTAGGTTAAAATTAGAACAAGGGCAAAGTTGTCAAAATTTTATAAATTGTGGGCTTTATGTAGAAAAACGCGGGCGATGTTTAACAAGTCCCCTGTTTTAAAAGCACTTGAGGACAGTAGAATTTTCGTTACTTTTGTTACACTTTCTGACAACACGTTTACAACTTTTTAGAAATTGGGTAAAACAAAAATTATTTTTATCTGCTACTTCGTAGAAATTCAGGGTGGCGCGACTTGTGGGATTGGGTCAATCATCGTTTTAAACTGTTGAGGGGAGCTGATTTCTTTAAAACATAAGTTCAAGTAATTCTGTAGTTGTAACTCAGATTAGAGAAAAATGGGGAATTATTTGACTCAAAACTTTGAGGTGAAACCAGACACAAAATCGGTTGAAGCGTTAACAAGATGGAGGAATGTGTTTGCCATCGTCAAAGATAAAAAGCGTCGTTTTCGCTTCACTGCAGACCTCTCCAAGCGTCACAAGGCGGCTGCGCTCCGTATCGCTCAGGTTCCTCTTCTAAACTTTTATTCCATTTTTTTAAAAGTAACTTTGTGCTCTCCCAGCTGTTCATGGACAATCCTATGCTTTTTTTTGGGGGGTATTTAGATTTACGAAGCACAACAACTCCAATGGTTGTACTTTGGGACTTGATTGTAATATTAAATAATTCCTAACTATTAGTTTGACCATTGAAGTTGAAAAAAATACAATTAGTTACTCCTCCGTGTTATTTTTAAATGTTACAGTTTAACCAGCACATAATTTTAGTCAATTTAATTGACTTAAATAAAATAAGAGGTAAGTGGGGTAGTTGGAGTATTAAAATATTACACTAACGCGTGACTTATTAAAAATAAATTACCCTTTGAGCAAAATACTGGGACAATTGAGGGAAAACTGATTCCGAATCCATAGTTATGATTATTAGATAATAAACTTTACTTGGGATTATTAAAAGTATATTGTCAATAATTGGGGTTATTAAAATGTATGTTTTCTTAAAACTATGTATGGTTCAAAGTAGAATACTTTTAAAATAACGAAGGGAAGTAGTAAAATCAGTAATGACTCAAGTTATTATAGGCACAAAATTTCTCTTCTCATCCTATCCTACTACATTCCTTAACATATGTGGTCAAACCTATTAGGAAGATTATTTGTGCACAAATGAAGTAATTTGGAAACAAAATGATATTTTTATTTCCTTATATAAAAAGATAATTGTTAAATACAAGTCTAAGCCACACGGACACACCTGTCACCTGGAGAGAGAGTCCATTTACAAGTCCAAAAGAGGTTCTATCCTAAAATCATATGACAATAAGAGGAATAGTCCATTTTCTCCCTTGGCCTTTTAATTTCTATTCTTTCAATGTAAGAACTCATGTGTTGTTTGACGAGACTACGCTTCAACAAAACTGATTTGTTACACTTTTTTTCTTCTTTTAAATTTACTAGGAGGGTCTCTTGGAAGATGTCGAGACAACCGAGGATCATGCCATCGACATGGATCTCGACCACAATCCCAATCCCCTCTCGGTAGGTTTGGAGCTTGAGCGAGAGCCATCATCAGTCGAGCCAAGTTATGTCAACGACACAAAGAGATTAGTTCATACTGCAGCAAACAACATGAGGAAAATGATTTGCTGCAAGGTTTTCTATATGTCCTCATTAGGTTGTTAAATGTGATTCTTGAGATTATCATAGCTTTTCTGACACAGGTTAATGCTAATGGGAAGATTAGTGACACTAAGTACCGCAAGTTAAGTGTGATCACTTCTTCAATTTGCTTAATTATGTCACTCGTCGAGATTATGAACTATCGACTGAGTCAAGGGAAACTGTTTGGAGAGTTGTCATTATACTTTAGTGTCATCAGCTCGACTTTGCAATTTTCTATCAACTTGGTGGTACTTATACTGAAGAAGAAGTTCATTAAGTTTGATTACTTCTCATTGTTGTTTTCCACAGTCACTTTGTTTTCTCCAATGGCTCATCGTCCGCAGGAGCCAGAGCAGGAAATCCACGATGCTTAAAATATCATGTGTTGGTCCAAGCTGAAATACACACCAAAAAAAAAGAGGTTTTATGTCTTTTGGAAGTTAAATGTTTAGGATTAATTTTGCTTAAGACTTATTCTCCAAGGATATTAAGTGTTATGATAGTTTAATTATTATGGATATTAGTTTTCTAATTATACTAGATATGTTGTGATATGAAGGTAATTCAGTAGGAGTGAAAGATCTTGTAAGTCCTATAAATGTAGGACAATGGGAGTTGTTAAGGAAGAAGAACACATTCTGACAACACGTTTTCAATTATTTAAAAAGACATTATCTTATACGACGTATATGTTTAAGATATTCGGGTTCAAATAAAGATTTGACACGGATACTTGAGGTATATTAAATGTTTGGTTAAAAAAAAAGGTTTGCTTAACATAGTTGTAATAATTTGTTTATCTAAACAAAGTTGTGAAATGAAATTGCTGTCAAACCAGAGATGGCTACTAGGATACGCAGGTCATTTAGCAGCTCTCAGCCAAGTCATCTGTTACTAAACTGATTCTGTAAATGCAACAAGGCCTGCAACCATATATACAACATATCTTTTGGTTTAGCATGCTCTACAAAATTCCTTTACTCTATCAGACAAGTTTACAACCCTATCGAGCTTAAAATTGTAAAGGACATTCACAAAGCTACATTAGCTGAAGCCTAAATTCTGACTGATACATTGCCTTCTTGACATGTACATAGGGCTTACCAAGATGTCAGTACTAAGTTTATGAGGTGGTGGTAGAGATAGGGGAGCCTGAGGTAGTGGTCAGAGCTATGCGATTGTGCACCGGGTGATCCTTTTCTTGAGACAATGGTGTTTTGCTAATGTTGTCTAGGTGACTGCATGGTTTCAGTTTTACTATCAGACGCTTTGATCGGCTTCTTATCTCCGCTTCTTCTTCATAACTTTCTCTCAACTCTTCTGCTGCTTCTTCCAAGTTTTCATTCATCTCTTCTACTGGTAAGCTCTGGCAAGCAGATGGCATCAGTTCATTCAGTTGTAGACTTGCTGCTGCTTCAGCTTCGGTAACTTGCACACTTTTGTCTTTCTGAATGCAATAATGTTACTTAATAAACTCATGCCATGGAACACATACAAGAAGACAATATGTATTCTGATACAACGATATTATACGAAAAGATGATGGATTTATGTACATCAGCATATATGCAGTGGTGAACTAATTATATGTACTTTCAATATATTCCATACATAATCTTAAATAATTTGTTCATGTATCAGTTATCTTTCACTTAGCTTCAACATTCATTGTTTAAATGAAAGGCTTAGACTTGGATCCACTGATAATTAAATGCATATATATGAGCTTTCAGTTGATAGAGCACTTTAAAAAAACAATGTAAGCATAGCATACCTCCAGTTCCATTAAAGCTTCTGAAATTTGGCGTAGTTGCATTTCCATAAGATTCTTCTTCTTCATCAGAACCTCATAGGTTTCCTTCATTTGACAAAGGCAATAAAGTTATGTTAAAAAGACTAGCTATCTCAGGAAAAATAAATAGATATGATAACTGTGCTGTCTTGGTTTGATCACTAATTAACCAGTTCATGCTGAGTTACTAACCCTCCCAGAAGATGCTGCACTGGCTGGCATTACCATAGTGATTGGCTGCTGATCTTGGTTTTTGGTTTTTAGCTCTTCCATTTGTCTGCAATGAGGGCATCTCGATTAAGATAAAAGATCACCACAAATACAATTACAGGATTCAGAGAGTCCAATCAGTAGTACTACCTCCTCATGATGCTAAGTTCATCTTTAAGCATCTTTACTTCTTGACGACATGAACACCTGGGAAGGTTAATGCTCTCTCCAAGCTTCCATCCAGGAGGTGGAATCCAATAGGGATCTTTAACCCCAGCCTCCTTCCTGATGTTAGCCAGATCAGCACTCTCAAGCCAGTACTCCATCTTACCTTCAGCATCACACCTTCTACGAAGGCGGGCACCACTTGGCCAGCAAGGTGCTTGAGCATATGGTCTAACAGGCCTGTATCACCAATTCTTTTCCGAGCTTCTGTCCTTAGCTGCAAACGAGAAACTGGGTTTTCATGACCAGCTCCATATTTCTTCAAAACCTCCACCAATTCCATTCCAGCTGCCACATACCTGCATGTTTGCCATCAAGTTAGCTTAGTGAAGTAGTAAGCACTTTCAGACAATCAGACTAAAAATTGTATCTTGTGAGTTTTACCTTTTTAGAGGCCATCTGTCAACAAATTCTTTATCATTGTTTCCCTTGATTACAGCTTTAATTTCAGTAGTGTTTCGGGTGAAAACAATGGGATCTTGTCGAAGGTCCGATGAAGTGGAGAAGACTGGATTCGGTCCAAGTGATGTTGGGCCGAAGGTTTCCTGCACAGTAAACACACGTAAACTAGCCTCGGGGGTGTTGCCGAGGAAGGCCCCTCCGATGCTAAAGTCAGTACAGTGTGTAGAAAGAGAACACTATGCAAGAGAATTAATTGCTTGAGGCTTTGCTTGAATTAATGTACAAATGTAATATTGATGGCTTTTATACCTTTGCATATATGGAGAAGTTGGGCCTTAGCCCAATTGACTTGCCTTGAGGACTGATCTTTGACTTTAGCACATTTGGAGAGTTGAACCTTGACCTTGGGCTTTTAATTGGATCATTTAATGACTAGGCCCAATTGGACTAAATTGGACCCAAACAACTTGCCACCCAGACCCGATTTGGAAGGATGACGGGTCGGGTTTGATTTAATCAGAAAAGGAGGGAAGTGAATGATTTAATTAATCCAAAAATTTGAATTTAAACCGTAATTAAACCATAATTAATTAGATAACAACAGTTAAGGCGGATAATTGTGGAAGTTGGACGGATAATGGGCGGTTTAATCGCAAGGTCGTGTGTTTAACGGTTACTTAGTGGGGTATTTAAGAGAAATTGAAACGCGGACTCCCCGTATTCCCATTTCTGGAGGTATAATTAGAGGCGCGTCATCTCTCCTCACTTATTCACCAACACAAACCCAGAATTTTCGAGAGAACCCAAGAACCCACATCAAAACTTCGCAAATTCCCCGAGCATTAAGCTTAGAAACTGAGATTCGTCACTACCAATTCGTAAATCGGAAACTTCTGCTTCAGATTAAGGTAAATTCCTTTGATTTTAGTTTATTTTTCTTCGAATTTGAACTCCTTCCCCTTTTTTCGACTTTTTTCTTCGAAATTATCAATGGCGAGAGGAGTTAGGGGTAGAGCCCGTGCTCCAAGAAGAGCAAGGCCAATTCCCGATCCCCGGAACAGGATTGGGACCTGGAATGGACAAAGAGCAGAGTCTGACCCTGCTGAAGGGATTAGGGCGACTCCCATTTCTTCGGCTCCTCCTCAGAGAACGGAGGGGCCGAGCGCTTCTGGGCGGGACGATGAAGTTCCCGCTGTCCTTTGGGATATCCTTCCCGGGTTTTCGGAGTGGGAGGATGCCGAAGTAGCTTCGGCTATGATAAAGAACCGCCCCTACTCATGGTGGGTGGAAAATGCCAAACAGTATCGGTTTGCCGAACAAATTGAGTTGCATTACGACATCCTTGAAGCTGATGGGTATTGGTGCCGAATGCCCGTGGCATCCGATAGAATCCATCGTCCACCCCCGGGGTATGTGGGGGTGTATACAAGACAACTTCAGTATGGGCTGAGGTTCCCTTTGGACGTATTCGTCCGAGACTTGTTGATCCATTACAATATTTCCCTATGTCAGCTAACTCCCATTAGCATCCGAAGGGTGATGACATACTTATGGGTCTGCAAGTTCTTCAGGTATGTGCCGAACCTGCACTGCTTCAAAAAGCTCCATCGACTAGTGTCAAATATTCAAAGTGGGCACGGAAGTCATGGTTCTGGGTGGTACCGGATTGAGTCTCGGCCCCCATACCTAACCATGTGGCCGAACGACTCTTCAGACAAGGACTGGAGAGGCCAATGGATTTGGGTTAGAGCACCCACGGACCCGAGCCACCCTTGCGTCTTCAGCGCTCCCCGGTATCTTGCTGAGCCTGATCCCGACATGGGAAGTTTAGGTCCTCCCGAAGATAACGGCCCAGACCCGAACCTTAATCAACAGAACATCTTCGGCAAGCTGCCGAACCGGGGGGGCAGCGGCCGAATGCAGCATATCCCGGAGACTTGGCTCCCCGATACGCATTATGTTTTCCAAGAGAATATGCTAGCAGCTGTCGGCCTCAGCCGAAAGTTTAAGGATGGTAAGCTTCTTCGGCTGGGGCCGAGGCCTTTTAATTATCTCTTTTCCTCCTCTTTCACTTCGCTTTTTTATGTTGTGCCAACCTAACTGAACTGACCTTTCCCCTTTTCTTTTTCAGAGCGGGACGAGACCAACGTCGGCATTAACTACGCTCGTCTCGGCGTCAACCGAGAACGAGTTGTAACTGATCGGGCCCACTTTATCACTGAACCGAGGCATAGGGAAGTTCATCTAGACTCTTCCCACTTCCAAATTGAGGCTGTTGCTCTGTATCAGAGGCAGAAGCCTTGGTGGAAGAAGAGAGATCCCTGGTTTCAGCTGCTAGACGAAGAAGCTGAAGCTGCCCGTACGGCCGAAGAGGTTGCACGGGTTATTGAAGCTTGTGAAGGAGGAGAAGGGTCCTCCAGGGCTGATGAAGAAGAGGCTGCAGCTAGGGCAGCTGAAGAAGACGAGGCTTTGCTGAAGACCTCGGTGAGCTTTTAGACTTAATTTTGTCTGTTTCTGTTTTTTGTTGTTTTTTTTTTTACTCACATTCTTCCTCCCTCCTGTCTTTTACAGTCTGAAGAGAGTAACAGACACAGAGATGGGAAAGCCCCTGTTCGTCCCGAAGACCAGATACAAGAAGAGTCTTCAGACTCAGACATGGACGAGCAGCCGCTTCAGAAAAGGCGCCGAAGAATGGCCATCATCGGCCCGCATGTCTTTCAGCGGAGGCCGATGACCATCGGCGTTGAAATAAGGGAACCCGAGGAAGGCAATGGATCGCCGAGGGTTCCCCGGCCACCACCTCAATCACCTCCAAAGACCCCTCCGCCACCTCCCGAGATGGAGGTGGATCAGAAAACTCCCGAACCTAAGGGAGGGGTCCAAGAAGAAGTTCAAGAGAGTGCTGCTGAGCACAGGAATGAGGATGCCGTGATGCCCAGTGCTGAGGGTTTCACGGCAGACATTGCAAGAGAGGTTGAGGCCTTCGTCCTCACCCCTGAAGAAGAAGAAGTCATAATAATTGACTCTTCTGAGAAGAAGGAGGATGCTGAGCCATCCAAAGTTAAAGAA